ATTATATTTCAAACTTTAAAGAACTTTCATTATATGTATAAAATAAGCACTTTTGTTTGCCTCTTAAATACTACACTCATCTTTTTGTTTGTAATGTTTTTACTCACCTTTCCATTTAAAAACAATTTCCCTAAATCCTAATTAAACTTAGAGATTGTGCCACATCTTGATTCATTATGGCCACCCCAAAGCAGATATAGAATGCTAAGTAAATTGCACGTCCTTTTTATCTTTTCACTTAGAAAGCATACTTTTATATTTTTCAGTGCAAAATCTAGAATGTCCTATCACCACCCATGGATTAGGCTAAAGCAACCCCAGTCTATAGAGAGCTCTCCAAGTAGCACAAGAGAGGACGTGGCCTCTTTTCTTCCTCTTCTGTGACCAACAACCAAAGACTTCATTGCTGGCCTTTGTCCAGACTTTACCAACCTGACTCATCTTAATAGTGTAAATGTGGACATGCTTTTATATGAATTTCCATATTAGAAAAGTCTGCTCGCTTAACACAAAGCACCATTTCAATCACAGACTTTCTTCCTTTCCTACCCAGCAGTGATCAAGAAGAAATGTGGAATATTATTCTTTCTCATTTTGAATAGAAACTACTAACATTTTAACAAATTGATTTTTGCTGAAAATAAGCATAATAAAGTGGTTTTTTTAATTGAAAGTGAGAGATTCCCCTGTGTCAAAATATAAGAATTATTTAGCTGTCTCCAAGAAGATGAATAAAACTATGAACATAATGGTTGACTTATTGAGAAAGAAAAATATATTATACAAAGACCAGAAAACAGAGTGGGAGAGAAAGGTCTGTAATGGCTTGGCTGCTAAAGGACATTTTTACGCTCATGCCAGCACTAAGTGCTCTTCCCAATGAATAAACCATATGTCCATTTTTATATGCTTTCTTTCACTAAGATTCTGCTACTTCACAATATTCCTTTTGTCCCAGTCCCTGCCTCATCTTCTGCAACCCCCAGCCTGGCTCCCCCATCCCTCACTTCACCTCCTTGGGCAACCAGTATTTGTGCCCTAGCTACCAACTTGAACATCTGTTACCTGAAAAAAAGAAAGGCCACCTCACTGCCTAACATCCTCCAGGGCAAAAAGTTTGAAGGATTCAGCATCCTCAAAAAACAGACACAGAAGGGAAAAAAAAAGAAGCAGCAGCATATCTTTTCCAGCTCAGTAAATCCTATCTGTATAAAGATTAAATGGATAACACTTTTAAAAATTCTTCAATGCAAGGAAGTCCATGTTACCAACAACGTATTGTCTTTCTTTATGCATAGACAGAGACCCACACATTTTATTTCACATTTGCAAGTGTCTCTTTTTCAACATATTACCATATAGAAGAGATAGATCATATATATAACCCTAGAGAACAAAATGCCAAGATTTTCCCTCTTTCTCCTGGATGGTTTTCTCTCTCTCTCTCTCTCTCTTTATGTCCCAGAACACTTCCCCAGCTGAAGGATAAGAAAATATTTTCACTGAATTAAAGTGAGCCCTGTGTTAAAACAGCTTGCCTGAATCCAACCAGAGCCCTTCAGCCATGGCTCACAGTCCCAGCCGCTCCGCGGCATGTGGGATCTTCCCGGACCAGGGCACGAACCCGCGTCCCCTGCATTGGCAGGCGGACTCTCAACCACTTCGCCACCAGGGAAGCCCCAGAGCCAATTTTTTTAAACTTCATTTCAACACTTAGTCAGCAGCTCTTCCTACTCCATTCACTTCTAGCAGCAGACTCATCTCCAACCTGAATTCCCATCACCGTATACCTTTGCCCTCAAGCTTTTTACTAGTCTACTTCCTTGATATGTTTGCACTTAATTTGATTCCATCCTTCATGCTTTTTTCATTATTCTTAGTTCATCCACACCACATAAATTATCACTTTTGTTTTTTTCAGTTCCCCATGTGCCCCCTTCACACCAATTCCAAATAAATACTTCCGATTCTCATCCATTTCATCCAAATTAATTCAGATTCCCTCTCCTAATCCCCCATCTCCACTTCTGCCTCCCCTCCTATCCTTCCTATCCTTTCTACCTCCCCTCCTATCCTTCCTATCCTTTCTGCCTCCCCTCCTATCCTTCCTATCCTTTCTACCTCCCCTCCTATCCTTCCTATCCTTTCTACCTCCCCTCCTATCCTTCCTATCCTTTCTGCCTCCCCTCCTATCCTTTCTCTTTCTCAAAGCACCTACTTTTCCCTCCATGCTTGTCTCTGCAGAAGGTTTTACTGGCAAAATGCTTCTGGAGGGTGCAAGGCCATTGCTTCCTGTGTTGTTTTAGGAAAGTCATGCTCTACATTACCATCAACTTCAATGGGCCAAGGCCTGCATGTCCAATTTCACCCTCCATGAGTAATGTCCTTGTATCATCACCCCTACACTGAAATTATGGAAGTGAGGAAAGAAAAGCTTCTTGTTCTTTGGTGGCATTTAACTTTAAGTGGTTTATTTCTAGTTTACATAAAGCTGTTTTTGCACAAAATCACTGCTAATCAAGATCATCGGCAATAGTCACAACTATAACCAACCCTATGACTATCCTTAATGAGCTCTTACCATCTGCCAAGTATTTTACATATGTTTACTCATTTAATCTTCAAAACAATCTAGGAGGTAAATTATCCCTCTTTTACAGATGAGGAAATTGAGGCTCAGGGAAGATACATCATGTATCCAGGTCATAAATCTAGGAAGTTGTAGAGCCAGAATTCAAACCCAAGTCTCCCTGACTGCAAAGCCCTGCTCTTAACCACTCTGCAGTACTGCCTTTCTAATAATGCACGGTGCCTTCTTGGGTAAATTCCCCACGGGGAGGAGTCTTTCCACTTTAATTCGCTATAAGGCAAGAGGTTGCAGGTGATGGGAAACATAATGAGCTCCACCTTGATAATCACTCTGAACAGAAAATGCCCAAAAAACAAAGCACAAAATATGCATCACTCCTCAGAGTTATCCTTCTAACACATCCATTGGAAAGAGGGGATAGGGAAAAGAAGAAAATGCTCTGGACTCACCCCCAAAAAAGACTCTCTGCTTCCCCAGAGCCGTCCAGTCTCACACTAGGCAGGACATAGCCTGTCTCACGTCAGTAATGAAAAACTGTGCTCATAAGCATGAATTCCACACCCCCAACAATGCTCAACCTTCTTGCCTCATCCTGCCTTCTCTGGTTTCCTGCGGGGAACAGGAGATGAGTCATGGCTGAAGCCTGGGAGCACTGCAATGTCTTCTCGTTACTTTACTCATTGACTTGAGAAAGAAAGACATATAAATAAAAACTACCTCCAGGACAATATCAGAGAGAGGAAAAAGAAAAGCTGAAAATTGAAGGAAGCTTTCGCCTTGATGTATGTGGACTGGAGGACTTGAACCCAATCTCCAATGGGAACCCTGAGTGGCACCTGAACCTGAGCCACAGGTTCAAAAGTTACCTTAGGGGACCTTCCCATGAACCAAGCAAGGGCAGAAGGGAAAGTCAGTTCGGAGTTAGAGGACAGCATGCCTAAGTCCTGTGGTGTGAAGAAGCAACGTCCACGCTCATCCCCCCGTGGGAGTACCTTCCAGGTTCGCGGTGGTGATGGCTTCTAGTCACACATTATGTACTCCTACCTCAGGGAAGCTTCTCTGTCCTGCACAAAGACATTTCACAGACCCCCTCCCCCCAGAAGATTAAAGCTGAGAGGGGCCTTAAGATCCAGATTGTTTGGCAGATGTGGAAAATGAGGCCGCCAGTGAGGTAAAGCGATGTGCTCAAGGTCACAAAGCTAGTTAGTAATAGCACTGGAGTAGAACCCAGGTTTTCCTGATTTTCCAGCCAATGAACTTTGCACTGTACACTTCCTTGGTGACACAGCCCACAAACCACCACAGAGTACCTGGAAGACAGGCAGTAAGCCCGAAAAGAACTCTCACCAACACATCTCCTAGCCTAGATCCAATCCCCTATTTCTCCCTGACAACACTCTGATTCTGCTGTTTATACTTTCGGAGGTTTTCCCTGTTCAGCTTGTACTGTGCACGCAGTATGCAAAAACCATACCAGCAATACACTGTCAGGGACTCATTAAAAAACCCCAATGATAGTAATTGCTCCTACGATGCTAACCCCAAGAAGAGCCACCAGCCCTAAGCTTCCAACTCAAACCAGAGAACAAAGACCGGATTCAAGGAATATGCTAATCTCACTCTTTTCTCTGCAAACCCCCCTCTACCAAATTATCCCATCGCTCCCAAGATCAACATGATTCCTGGGAGTCACCACAGAAGTCCTGAGGAAAATATACAGTCCCCACCGGTCCCCAGCGCCCTTACCACACACACAGCAATGTAATCACTTTAGCAACTTCTCAGTAACAAGCTCATTAAAAAGCAATTCTGCCATCTCTCCATAAAGCATGCGCCAGAGAACAATGCAAAAGAGGAGATGCCAATTAATTATAGAATGATCACCTCTAATGAACTCTGAAACCCTCCTGCTGTTGGTGACTTTGATGAAAAATCAGGGATGCTGGAAAAAGAGTGAATAGGGACACCTTGGCTACCTTGCTCAATTGTGAATTTCAAATGTACCTCCTAGGATTCCACTGTTGATCCAAACTGCAAAATTGCACTGATAAAACAATGAAAAGTACCAGGAAAGTGACAGGTGCACATATCACGTACGGTTGTGAGTCACACCACCAGAGCCCCTGTTCAGGCATCCTCAGTAGTGTCTGATTCTACACCATGGTTGTAGAATTATTGCCTCTGAAAGTGTCTCCGAGCCAGTGAGTGACAAACCCATGTCCTGTGCTCAGGACACCTGGAGATCCTAAGGTAACGAGTGAGTCGCCTGCTTCCCCACCCAGGCCCACCTGCCTCTCTGCACCTCCTAGTTGGCATGGAGGCCACTTCTCGGAACAGAGAGAAGCCCTTCCCACCATGAGGCTAAAGGAGGAAAAAGAAGAAACCACGTGCGGCCAACTTGTACCACTACCTGTGTGAGTCCTCTGGTGGGCCTTTAAGTGGGAGCTTTTTGTATAAACTTTCCGGCACCCGTTAAACTGACAGCGGTGAACCCTCTTCTTGTTTTCGGGGCATGCCTCAGCCCCTACCCCTCCTTGTTCACTGTCGCTCTGTCCACTCTTAACTGTCCCAGCTGCCGCCACGGCTGCCGCTGCTGTTGCCACCCCTCCCACCTTTACTGAGCTGAGTGCAGCCTTCTTGGCCACCAGTTTCAACGTCACTGTGCCATCCACGGCTGAGAGAGTCTGTGAGGTTTTGACCAGATGGCGGCTGAGCTCAGGGGACGAGGGGGGCGTTAATGAGGTCACTGCGTTGAGCTGGGCCTGGTTGACGGCTGTGTAGCTGTCTAGAGAAGAGCTGGTTGGCTGGAGGCTGAGGCAGGTCTCAGATAGCAACTTGTCCCGAGAGAGCAAAATGTCCACTGCCGAACTCTTCTCACAGATGGTCGCTTCCACAGGGAGCAGCAGGGGGTCTAAGCGCCGGAAACTTTCCTCAATGCACGGGGGAGGAGAAGCACGGAGGAAACAGTCTAAGTCCTCACCAAAGGTCTCCGAGATCCTCCTAGGCTCCGTCTGCAGGTAGCGTTCCAATTCAAGGCATGTCTGCAGAGGGGAAGGAGGGAGGGAGAGAAACAGCCATCAGAAGCAAAGAACACCACGAGACCACATGTTGACAGGCTGAGGAAGAAGATACAGGAAGGAACAGAGAATGTTTCATGGCTCGTATCTGAAATTCTCTTGTTGAAAGGTCTGACCTTGTTATTTTCTCCCTGGACACTTCTGAAGAGTTCACAAGGGTCACATGATATGAGTTCAACTACTATAGTTAATGGGGAACTAGAAGCCCAGAAGGGCTATCTCACACCATCAAGTTCCCTGAGAACATTTAATGTTAAAATGGTCTCATGCTCCACAATCCAATTCAGCAGGTGAGATGCTCTAAGCCTCCCTAGGAGTTCCCGCGCAAGCAAGAAGCAAATAGAATCAGACAAGATTTTCATATCAAGACTCCACACAGTCCAACTTAATTTTTCAAATAGACTTTAGCAAGTCACAAAAATAGACCAGTTTTCCAACTTGCCCTTTAGAATAAACCATGCCCACCCAAACTAAGTCATGAGCTGAACCAACAGCAAGCCCTGCCTTGGGAATGGATTCCCTAACCAGCAGGAATGGACACTGTTCTAAAGAACGCCTTGTATAAAACCTTTGATGCACATGACAAAACCCCCATTGTTTACAGCAAGTTATTCAAAATACAATTGCTACATACTGTGTGGCAAGGAGCATGAGTCCCATTATAATAGTTTGACATCTCTGACTCCACAATAAAAATAAGTTCCATCATAGCTATTTGAATTGGTACAGTCATAAGACACAATCTATTTCAACATAAAGTTTTCACCCAGTAAAGAAGTGAGGAAAAAGAAACCAAAAAAACAGAAAGGTTCAGAGTTTCAACAAATCTTCATCCATGGTGCATGTAAGTCTTTGTAAGATGGGGGAAGCGCTATTATGGCCAAAGCGGATTTTAAGTTTATAATCTAAAAGCTCTCCTCACTTAATCCTACTCTTCCAGAATCTGGTAGAAAACCATGGTGCTAACTTATACTATCAGTTCAATTCGCTCTAACTTCTGGGGCTTCAACAAAGAAAACACTGATGGCAAATTTAAAATGTGACTAGCTCCTAATTTACTGCCTCTGTAGAGCTTCTATGTTTTCAACCAATGTTCTGATTCTAGGTTTTTATTCTGTTAAGAATCTATTTTAATGATATACCTAGTTGTGTTGTATCTGTCAAGGATTTTATTTTGGTGACATTTCAAAAGATTGGTTTTTAATCAGCCTTCTGGTAAAACTCTGCATTACTGAATAAGAAAAGCAGATTTTTAACAATGAATCACCTTTGGGTCTCACTATTGATTTTTAATAGGATAAACTAATGAATGGTTCCAATCTTCATTCAACCCTCATGTCACAAGTGTTCACTCAACTACTGTGTTCACAGCAAGGTGCAAGGCTTTCTGTATGTTAGAAGAAGAAGACGGTGATAGATCCATGTGATGTAGGTGCAGAATAAACAATTACCAGCTAAAAATTACATGAATTTATAAGCAAAGTGGTACCAAATAACATAACAATAAAGTATGTTGATAAGTTCTTAGGGGATGAGTGGACAATGAATTCTGTACTCTATATTATGGAGGTATTAATCAAGTAAAGCTTATTGGAAAAGTAAGTTTGATTCTATTTTGCTTATTGATTAAATAATAGCTCTTGCTGAGTAGCTTCCCACCACTTTATATCCGAAACAAGTTCTACCACCTTCTCAGGTCTAGGAATTTGTCTTATCCTTATTTGCCCCTTTTCTGAATTCTATGTTTCAGAGATTTTCCCTTTCATTTTTCCATCTCATTGCTAAAAATTATCATTTACTTCTTTCCAATATTGAAACCCTCAGTGTTAGCCCCAGTCAATTCACTTCTGAATTATAAGATATTACCCCTGAAACCTCCCCTTCCCTTTTTAAACCATCATCTGCCAAGTACAGTGTCTGGTACCCATCAGGTACATTATGTCTATCAAACAAAGATAAAATCAACTTTATACTATTATTTTGATCATTCTATTCTACTCCACTCTACAAAAGCCACCTGCTGACCCTAACCTGGACTAGGCTGAGGCTAGCAATCCTAGAAATGACCACTAATACATGTCTTCTAGAACATAATTGTAATACTCCTTTAGCTTTGCCCAAAGAGCAGAACCAGACCATAGAGACACAGATATGTTTCAGGTAGAAATCAGCTGAATCATAGGTTATAAGAGGTCCTTCCCGGCCTCACAAACAAGGACGATTTCACACTCACAGTCACCAGTGTCTGTGGATACAGCTTTCGGATGTCATGTCATCTTACATATTTTTAGCTCACAGAATCAAAAGTCACTAAGAAATTGTTGTGATTATTAGGAAGCTCAGATCTCTTCATACTCTAAGGAATTCTAAGGAACTGAGATATTCTAAATGCATTTACACACTCTTCAGGGAGGATAAAAAATAACCTACCCAGGGCTTCCCTGGTGGCGCAGTGGTTGAGAGTCCACCTGCCGATGCAGGGGACACAGGTTCGTGTCCCGGTCCGGGAAGATCCCACATGCCGCAGAGCGGCTGGGCCCGTGAGCCATGGCTGCTGAGCCTGCGCGTCCAGAGCCTGTGCTCCGCAACGGGAGAGGCCAAAACAGTGAGAGGACCGCGTACCAAAAAAAAACAAACAAAAATAACCTACCCAGTATGCCCTAGTTTGAATCCCAGATTGAATCCCAAAACACATGGATCACACTAATTATCTAAGGATGGAGATACTTCCCATGATTAAATGTGGGAAAATCTGGACCACTTAAGAGAGGTTATCACTTGCAATCCTAATACAAGGCATTATTATTCCATCTGAGAGTTAGAGAAGCATGAGTACCCATCAGAATGTGCTGAGTAGCCCTCTGAAATCATTATGGAATATTTTTGTCTTGAGAAATCTACTTCTTGTAATATTTGCTGGAGATGAAGCTTAGATAGAAAAGAAGACTTTGTCAACCAGAAACTCAACAGGAGTGTTGGAGATTAAAATGTTAATGAGGAGGAGGATTTCAATGTTAGATTATTTCCAAGCAAAAGAGACAGTTTATCACCAATGTTTTTGAAAAATAATTATAAGAACTCCCTTAAGAAACGCCTATGATGTTTAATTGGAATTTAAGGTATCAGTATTTACTCAGAGATTTTAATACATATACACACAGAGGTATGTATAGAAATAAATGTGTATATGCATGTATGTGTATATATACATGTATTTCCTAGCTCCATCAATGAGAAGAGTCTACAAGCAAAGACACCCCAGTAGCAGTGAGCACACCTGGCATGAAGATCTTGGTTTCTAAATATCACTATCCAATAAAGGGAACCAGAGTGCCTTGGAGAAATAGTTGATTGAAAGGCTGAGGCAAAGAAAATAAAGATGAGACTAGAATATACTGTCATACCAGAAGGTAAGGAAGTGCTCATAAAGTGATGGAGGCATGTCAAAAAGACTCATGAGCCAACCTGAAGGAGTTCTCAAAGTCCAAATCTAGGCAACGTGAGCAACAAAAATGAATAATGATAACAGATTCTAACCCATGGAACATGATTAATATCCAAGAATCCATAGTGATATAAATAAACGGTTGAATAAATAAATAAATGGAGGAGATAGATCAGCTCCTACTTATAGTAAAATTACAATTAATAAACATAGAAGTATTGAAAATAGAAGTATTGAAATAGAAAATCGCCGTTAGTCAAACAACAAAGTAGTAATGAGTACAGGCAAGAATCACCAATGGATGCTAAAATTAATAGATGAAGGTATAATGAGAAACAAGATATTTGCCTAGTCTCAAAGCACCCACCCAACAAGACATTTATTAATTACAAAGACAAAAATAATAATTTTACAGTAGAGAAACCTGGCATGCACCACCTTCACCATATGATAAAATTTTGCAGCGTATTGATATCATGCTCCCCGGACATGATAGGCTGAAAAGGGCACAACATTATTCTGTGCCATTCTTGCCAAAAGTACCTAACTTCAATCTAGTCATGAGAAAACATGAGACCAATACAAATTGAGGGCCATTCTACAAAATAACTGGCTGGTATTCTTTAAAAGTATGAAGATCATGAGGAACAAAGGAGAAGTTGTCACAGATTGCAGGAAACTAAGGAGATAAGACAACTAAATGCAATGGATCCCTGCCTGGATCCTGGATGAGAAAAAGGACACCGGTGGGAAAAATAATGTAATTCAAATAAAGTGTATAAATTAGTTAATGGTATTTTATCAAGGTTAATCTCTTGTTCTGATACTTGTATTATGATTATGTAACATTAAGGGAAGCTGCAAAGAGTGTATACAGGAACTCTATGTACAATTTTTGCGACTTAATATAAGTCTAAATACTTTCAAAAGAGAGAGAGAGAGAGAGAGAGAGAGAAGAAATGCCCATCGGCGGCACACTAGGAGTGTCTCCAGATTGCAAATTTCGATACAGAGTTCAAATGTTTGTTTGTCCACCAGAACCAGAGATTTACTCTGTCCCAATGACACTAGCCAGCAAACTCCAAATTGGAGTCAGCAGATGTCAATTTAATGACATAAATCATGGCTGTCTGGTACCTCACCTTGGAGAAATGAGGCTTTCCTCAGCCTGACCTAACAATACAACTTAGGGTTTGAGCCACTGGATCAGCCTCCACCTTCTCAAAAATCCACTACCGTCAGCAATGGGGAGGAAACGCACCCAACTGCAAAGCGACTTTCTTATTATTTATGAGTCACAGATGAGTTTTGTGAAGGCTGTCCGATATCTCAATTTCAAAATGCATGGCTTCTTCTAGTTTCCTAACAAACATCACCTGAATTTGGTTTTGAAATGATCACCCTGAAATATTTTAAAATACTCTCCATTCTCTTCATAGCCTTCTTGTTGAAACATGCTTATTAAAATGATAATCCAAGACCTAGTTTTTAAAAAAGAAAAAAATTCAAACCTGTTAAC